TATATATATATATATATATATATATATATATATATATATATATATATATATATATATATATATATATATATATATATATATATATATATATATAAAAGATTTCATGTCTCAAACACAATATATTAGATATTGAATTATTATATTTTAAAAATATATAATAATTTGATGATAGTGTATCAAATTCATTTATCAAAGATTGAAGGATATATTTTAGTTGATAGATCCTACTATCAAAATCGAGAAATCTAGCAGAATAAATCTAGCAGTTAAACTCAGAATTTATACTCAACCAAACATTTCAAAGGATTCTCCAATGTTCAATAATCGGCATAAAGCAATCAGTATGTTCTTCCACTAATATTAATAGTCTTACTCCTGCAAATAAAAAGATTATTTTCTTAACTTAAATCACATCACAGAAAAAATTTATTGTCCTAGGAAGGCTCCTCTGCATCACAATCTTCTTACACCAGATAATACATATATATTCATTAGAAGCCAGAATTGCTCATTTGGATTTACACTTGATGCATCTAAATTCCCAATTGATGATCCAACAAAACAATTCCATTGGTTAATGGCTTAATGCTATGCCAAATCCTAACCCCCAAATAAAAGAAGAAAAAAATCAAACATGATTCCATAAACTTGCACCATATTATCTCATAAAGACCTCAAGATAGGCCAAAGTAATTCCCAGTCTGAACTAAAATGCACTATTAAGATATCAAAGGTACAAGAACTTACAAGGAATAAAGCAATGCAGTATTAAGATCCTTCCGAAATAAGTTCATCACATCTGATAGTTAAATTCAGGTAAAATAGAAAAACTGAATCAAGAAGCTTTTACATGCAAAATGACCAACCATCAGAGGAAACTAAGAATGTAGGAGCATGCATTCATTATTGGCACCAAGAGGTAACACAACAGTCCAAATTCCAAACACTACTTTTTAAGGACTCTACAAACCATAATTATCAAACAGCAAACTTATACAAAAGCTTTACAAACAACTGAAATGTGGAACAGCAGTATTCAGACTTGTTTCATTATCAACAACAACAACAAGAAGCCTTGCTGCTGCTTGTTTCATCAGAATTGTGATATTCCACTATTGCAGTGTGAAAGAAGTCTGGCTATAAAAGATACCAAGATTCAAATGAAAAAAATGTGTACTGAAGTTCGAATACCATCTTTGAAAAAGAAGACCAATAAACCAGTAAAAAGACCAGTTATAACAAACAAGAAACTTATCATGTAGTTCTACATGCTGAGAGAGAATGAGAGAGAGAGGAATTCAAAGAATGGGCATACTAATATGATTAGACATAAATTAATCTCGATTTAACTCATATGAGACAGGGAGCACACCGATGAACAAGGCTCCTGTCAAGCTGTAACTGCCACTAACAGTTAACAACATTCACCTCATTTGTCTCTACCTAAACTACATATGAGAGCAAGAAATGCTTTCTCACTCGAGTTGAACACTGCTCAACTATGTCAACAATCAATAAGCAATGTTAAATATGCTTTACAATACTGAAAACTAGCTGTGTGAAAAAAAAAAAATTAATTATATTAACGAGGAACCTTTCTCACTTGAAGGAAATGTCATACAACCATTAAAACCATAATGCAGAAATTTGAAGACTGATCAAAACCAATTCCATCTCGTGAAATAGCACCGATGTCCTTATGAATATCACCATATTCATTTTAAAGGCCACAATTTCATCTACTAGCCACAGAAAAGGTACATCACTGCACTTCAAACTCAAACAATAGCAAATAGTGGTGGTACCAATTACCTAACAGAATTTTCTTCCATGCTTATTATGTTAAGGTGCACATCCTTTTGTATTTCTTTCCTATTTTGCTCCATATTCTCTGATAAAGTGAGCCTGAAAGATGGGCTGACTTAAGTAGTTATATCTAGAACTACAAATCTCATGCAACTGCAACAACCTAGGCGATGTGTGTTTGTTTGTAAGAAAATGAAGGCAGTGCAGAAGTACAATTTCACCAAACTCACCATTTCCTCTAGCTGTTAAGTTTTCCTACATGTAAAAACATGGGATTTCCTCTCTCCAGAATAAAATTATGGTACCAAAGTGAATACAGAATGGGCAACTACAAAAATGCAAAGAAGCTACATTGTTAAATCTAAGAATCTCCTAGATCTTTTAGGGATGAAATGGTAATAAAAATTATTCCCAGCCAATAAACAAAATATGCTTGACCAGCCAAGAAATCATTATCCCTACTAGTTGAAAGCAAATAATTTACAAACACAGGATGTGCTTCTCTTAATAAAAAACAAATGCATCATCAATATATAGATGGAAAGAAATTGACGAGGAAAGTTACACCACTTAAAGCAAAAGAAAATCATAAACTATCACTGCAATGTCAGCAACTATTCACCCAAAGGAGATCATTAACTACTACATTAAGGGTTCATTATGAAAATCGCAGACATACAATGGATACCAGTTAAGGGTTGAAATACATTCTACTAAAACACAGATCTTAAGATCTAAATGTAGGTGAATAAAGACTCATATTAGGCATCCTTCAACTTCTTTGCCGCCTTTTTTTCTCTATCTTTTTAATAACGCGCCTCATGAAAGGTTTATTATCCCAACTAGGCTTAACAAGCCTTTGGTACCGGCGAATCACTCTCCTTGCAATCAAGGTTCTTTGCTTCTTCTTAGGCCTTGCTGCCGCAGGTGGTGAAGGTAGTATTGCAGGTGCATTAGGAGACACTGTTGGAACCTCCAGTGACACCTGTTGTGACCAACTCCTACTTAAGTCATTATATCCATCCATCCTTCTCATCAGTTCCTGCCATGCCACATATATGTTATGTTGGTAGCAATTGGTTTGCGTCTTAGTAATTAAACCAACCATAAATACAATACCAACCTCCACTCTCTCCTCCATTGCAGATAGTCTTGTCATCATATTGTCCTCCAAATAACGCACAGAGTGTTCAAGGGCCTCCAACCGTCGAGAGAGGTTGTGAACCTGCATCAAAGTGGGCAGATATATCCTCAAACTTCATAGGTCACACAAAGATTACACAAAAATGGACAACTGATATAGGTAATATGTTGCATACCAGCACCTCAGAAACTGAATCTTCTCCCTGTTGCATGGGTTCCTCCAGCTGTGAGCTTGTGTTAGCATTCTCCATATCAAACTTTTGAAGGAAAAAGGATGAACCAAACTGCAAACAGAAGTGGACAAAACAAAGGCAAAAGAAAAACTCAACTAAACAAAAGCGTGAACTTTTTCAATGGTATTTCGACCTAGACCATTCAGTTCCAGGTTTCCAGATGATGCTCGAGGTGCCATAAATGTTATATTAGACAATTCAGTTCTCTTCAATGCAAAACAAGGCAAGAACAATTGCAAAATATACCAAAAAGTAAGACATTTTAGTCTTTTATAGAAAGAAAAATGAGTGTGTAACTTGGATGATGCACCAACTACAAAACTTAAAATGAATCCAGGAATATAGGAAAAACAATAGCGAAGAAAAAGTTAATAGAAACCTAGTCAATCATTGACAAAGTTCCACAGTATCACTATGATGCCAAAAGATTATAATAAAAACAATAAAATATTTTTTTGTAATGATTAATATCATCAAGTCACAAGATGGTCTCTTGAGGTGCCATATATACTACCTTATACCAATGCCTTGGGTTTCTAGTTCAACACTTTCCTATAAGACATCTATGAGATAGCCAAAATCGCACCTTCCACTTCACCCCCACTCTCAAGCTCGGTCATTTTATTGAGCATATGCAAGACAAAAACTAAATCTGCACCAAGACATCCTAGAGGGCAAAAGATCGATATCTGTGAATCCAAACCAGACAAAGGCGTTTCTCCAACTTATCAGCTTTAATCAGCTCAACAAAATCCAACCTTGACGGGTTTTTAACCCATCGACACAGGCGTCCTGCTAAGATCCTCATTCTTACAAGGAACCAAGGTAAAGGCCCAAAATCCCTGGCGCAAGGAAAAGCAAAATCGCCCTAAGTAATGAACAAAAAGGTTTCCTTATTTATCCAGCTAGGGATTAAATCCCTCGATATCACGAGACTTTTGTCGATATATCCGCAAACAAGGAAGTTGCTTTGTAGATAACAGACCTCGATACAGGCCTTACAAGTCCTCCGATAAGCACGAAAACACTTGGAAGGAGAGAAAAACGGGGAAGGTTGTACTTCTTTTTTTCCGCGCACAAACGAGGAGGAAAACAACGAGGGGAGAGATCACAGACCTCGCGGGGAAGAAACGTACCGCGCTTCGCTAATCGCCTCGAGAGGAGGGTGGATTTCCCTTTCGATTTGCGAGAGGATCGTAGAAAACTCTGGCTCACGCCTCGCTCACCCGGCCCAGTTTGGCTTCGCGTCCCCAAGAAGTCGCCCTGGCTGTGGGCGCCACACACGGTCGCCGGTGGGGTCCACTACAAAGACCACTAAGAAAGATACAATTATTAATACTAATTTCTCTTTTTTTTTCCTTCCTTCATTCAGTCAGAAAATTAATTTCTATAAAGTTTTTATTATTCAACATATGAAATTCTCTACGAATAAAATAGTAATTTGTTTTAGAAAACAAGGGCAGTTGTCAAGAAACGGTTTACGAGGACAAATGCAGACAGGTTTGTTGTTTTCAGCAAGTCGAAAACAGAAACGTTTTGTTTCCGGTGTCTGCGGTGGCAACGTGGCCTCTTGCAATCCCCATTTCCTCCCTGTTAAAAATCTTGTCTTGCCTCCGTCGTCCCGCAAAGGAGGGTACTGCATAAAAGGGCCGGCCCAGCTCGCTGCTGCTGTCCCATGCTCGGTTCCGCTCGCATCGCCCTCTCTCGCCTTATCTCTCCCAGAAACACTAGCTTTTCCGTCTCCCTCCGCCTCGCCAAACCCCTCTCGTTCTTTACCCTGAAGGCTTTACCGGCCCCTGCAAAGTTCCTTGCTTTCGATTCTCGGGACCTCCGGAGAGCCTTCATCCCCTGCTTCTGCTTGCTGCCCTCGCCGGCGTCGCCTCTGCTCTCTAGATCCGCCTCTGACATGGCTTCCTCCAAGTCTGCAGCATCCATCCATGACTTCACCGTCAAGGTTGGTCTCGTTGATTGGTCGCTTATGCTAGTGTTCATTTCGAATGTTTGGACCCCCTCTCCGCGCAAAGAGAGAGAGAGAGAGAGAGGTATTTTGATGCGCGATCGATTGTTTATTTGGGTGGATTGTTTTATAGATCGAATTTTGACACTAAACTCGATGCTCTTTGTTTGTTTCAAGATAAGTGATACTTGTGTCTCTTGAATTGCTTGAATCCTTTAAGTACGTCGTTTCTTTTAATACTCGAGGTTGGTTTGTCCTTTACTTAGTTATTTGTCTTCCGATGTGGCTTTGGGGGCTTCACGAAACGGTTCTGCGAACTTTTGGTCAGTTGTTATTGCGACATAAAATTTATTTTAGATGTTTGTTTGATGCTTTCTCGTAAATTTGTGAAAGTTATCCTTCTGGATCAGATTTTGATTCTGTGCATGAATTTTTGGCGCTTGTGTTCATCTTATTATTTCGTGTGAAGTCATTGTCGTGGTAGCTTTTGTTTATTTAGTTTCGTTAAGGACACATATGAGTAATGTTAGCCCTATTTGGACATTCACGAACTTCAGATTTATTTCCTTTCTAAAAAAAGATCCATAAAAGAATAGTAGAGAACTTTCTTTGATTTAAATTGTTCAATGCTTTGAAGATCAGGTGTTCAGTTAAATTGCTCAATGCATTAAAGATCAGGTTTTGGGTGAAGAGCTTTTGATATGAATTTATATCAACCTCCATTGCAGGATGCCATGGGAAAGGATGTGGATCTCAGCATGTACAAGGGGAAGGTTTTGCTGATTGTTAATGTGGCATCTCAATGGTAATTAGTTGTATTACGATTGTTAATGTGGCAACTCAATGCTAATGGTTTTTTTGATTGTTAATGTGGCATCCCAATGGTAATTACTTGAGGACGATAGATCTGAAGCATACCAAGTCAAAGACCGAGTTGTATTACGATTTATATTCATTTATTTTGAAGCTGAATGATGTCAATTATTGTGTTTTTGTCTGATATGTAGTATCATATTCATATTGCTCTTGATTTATTCATAAACTAAATCTCTAATTTTGTTCGACTAGTGGGTTGACAAACTCAAATTATACGGAGCTCAGTCAGCTGTATGAGAAGTACAAGGGCAAAGGTACGTGCTTGTCGCTTAATCTTACATGAAGTAGTATTTAATACGTGGGTCATTATTGGTCACTACAAAAATATCTGTTTGCTATCTTTTATAATGATCTCATTACTTAAAGATTGATACAGCTGCTTTCGTCTCTGAATGGAAGTGTGAGAAATCATATGTAATGCTTTTGGTTGTTGAATACACATCTTTCAACAACATGGTCCACACGCAATTCTATATTACGTGCACACATGAGATGGACACTCATTGGACCTTCTTGGGATTGCACTTGATGCTTGATGTTGAATATGTTTTTTTTTTCAACTTAAATTTGTTGCATATTACAGATTTCGAAATTTTGGCTTTTCCATGCAATCAGTTTGGGGGGCAGGAACCAGGAAGTAATGAGGAGATTGTTGAATTTGCTTGCACTCGTTTTAAAGCTGAGTATCCAATCTTTGACAAGGTAATGCTTCTTCGTTCATTGTGATCACATCCAAGCTTCTTCTTCAGGTAAAGTAGAGAATTTAGAAAACCTTCTGTTCCAATCATCATAATTTTCATGTAACACAGAGGTCATGCTTGCAATATTGCAGAATAATGTCATTAATGTAAGAGATTAATAACCTCACTCTTACTGCTTTGATTTTTGTAATGTTTCCATATGTGCATGCATCCTTCTTTTCTTTTCAGTAGGTTGTTTTTTTGTGTGCCACTAATCTTGGATCTAATAATTTTTAACTAGTTATTTCAATAGTATAAACTAAGCATGTCAGGCTAAATGCTTTGGTTGATCTTCCTACAAATATTGATCTGTGTGATCTGAGATGAAGTAATCTTTCTGAATTAGGTTGATGTAAATGGCAACAATGCTGCGCCTGTCTACAAATTCCTTAAATCCAGCAAAGGTAGCATCCTTGGGGATGGCATCAAGTGGAACTTCGCCAAGTTCTTGATTGACAAAGATGGTCATGTGGTGGACCGCTATGCTCCCACCACATCCCCTCTGAGCATCGAGGTAACATCGAACACAAAACCATCCCTTAGCTCATTTCCATTCTTCCTCGAAACCTGTGTCATTTTACAAAATCATCTCTTTTGTCTATTCTGTTACTCCTCTTGATCGTGTATGCCTTCTTTTAACTTTAGATAACATGTCAAAAACCTGCAGAAGGACATCAAGAAGCTCTTAGGCGAAGCCTAAATCGTGGGTACTTCGTTCAGCTTCCATAGAAATGTTGCTAAAGGCAGCATATATCCTTGAAGTCTTAATAGTAGACCTGCATTTGTGTGACAGTCCTACATATGTATTTTGGGCTTATGCTAGAAGTTTCATGGTGGATTTCTGCACTTTGTTGATTCAGTAAGGTTTAAAAGTATCTACGGAACAATTATTGCCTACCATTTGCTTATATTGGTGCTGTTCTATAAATCTTCATTGTTTCACAAAGGGAATATTTATCTATCTAATATGATCTATCTTGATCATGTCACCTTACTTGGGTAGGGTGACTAACAAGGTAGCTTTCTAGGAAGGCAATTTTGATAAGCAGCTATTGCCTCGAACTTTGTTTTCAGAACTGCTTGACCTCTAATGAAATTATTTTTTTTTTTCAAATAAAAAATCTTGATCATAAATTGGACGATGTGATGAAACAGTTGCTTACATTTTTAATTCATGTTTGGAAGTGTTAAAATAGTTCTAGAAGTGATATAATATGATATGATGCATGGGTCATGATTCAAAACATGCAATGCTTATATCTTGTATCATATTTATCAAACCCATCGAAAATAGATGTCTTACCAAAAATATTATCTTCAAATGGTTTGACATGTTATCTACCAAAAAGTTTATCTTAAAATGGTTTTAGTCTTATTGATCAAAAGTAAATATAACATTATCATGATTTTTTTGTAGCAAAGGTTTTGTGATGACAATGAAATTCGAATCATAGTTGACTCATTCAAAATTATTTTGAATTGATTTTAGCCCTTATTGATCGAAAATAAATGTAAGATTTTCTTAAATCGATTGTACGATAAAATATAAAGCATGCTTAAGTGAGATAAGAAGTCTATTTTTTCTTATACTCGAGACCTCACCATAATTGCCAACATGAAAACAACAATAAAGCAGCATCGAAGCATTTCATACCCGGCAAAGCTCTTCTAAGCAGAACTTAATCTTCCTATCAACCCAAGGATTATGATTGCTTTGCATTATTAAGCTTGCCTGCTAACTCAATCCAGCATAAGTTTAAAGGATTCATGCAATCAAGTTCAAAAAGACAACGAATGCAAAGAGAACATGATCACCAGTAACAGCTACATTGAGATGAGACTGTCTGTCTTTCAACAAAATTTCACCACCTACATTAACAGCACAACACAACATAGCATGTTTTGAACAGATACATAGCTTAATTGTTAAACATACAACACATGAACAGCAAACTAATCTAACAAGCACCAGGTGATGTCTGGAACAGAAGGCATGTTAGCATGAGTTGAACTTAAGACTTGAGTTGCTGCGAGTCCACCGAATGATGACTCATATGAACAACACCACTTTGACACAACCATTAGTAAGTAGCAAGCTAGCCTCGTGTTAAGTCGATATCGATATGAGCATTCCTCATATCCAACTGCCTCGAACCAGGCCATCCCCCCATGACAGAAGAAGGGGTAACATTTTGATCGGGAATTGCGGCGTATGGTGCACTTTGCTCATCCCCAACCTGGAGTTCGGATGATTGGGCACCTGTTTCATTGCTGGCTTTCTGTTTGCTCCTTGCCTTCGATCCAGCGTAAATGAAGCTTCCTACAATTACCTATAAGAACACAGATCATTGAACAAATAACTAACACCAAAAAAAAAAAAGAAGCCATGCATGGACCATGGAGACAAAAAGCACAGGAGTACAAGAGTAGGTTAAGCCGCAAAGTAGGGGATCTTGATTGACAGAGTTTCTTTTCTGGTTAACAATTTGATTTTCGAGAAGCAAATCTAGAGGACCAGGTAGGGGATCAACAAAGAAGACAAACTGGTTGCACTCAAGATCTGGCTCAAGCACATCGACAAAGATATAGGAATTGAGAGAACTGCGATGACATATAATTATTACCAAGGATACACATGGACGCAAGATATCGACATCCAAGGATGTTATATAAAGCCTGAACTAGTTACCTGTACAGGGGTTGCAGCTATAAGCAGT